TATATATATATATATATATATATATATATTAAATGGTGCGAAGCGGAGGAATATATGATATTTATTTTAAAAAAGACATTAAAATATAATTAAATTAAAAAAGGTGTTATAATAAAATATTTTTGGGTAAAAAATGTATAAATTTTGATAATTATTTTGATGATTTTTTTAACTAACATATTTAATATTTAAAATTTAGAATTTAGATAATTTGATAAATTCAAAATTATTTCTCATTACAATTATCTTTTGATAATTTTTTTTTACAATTTTATAATTATTCTGATAACTTCTATATATATATATATATATATATAATATAGTAGGATAATGAAATATCAAGTAAAAAAAATTATGGGATATCAACTAACTAAAAAGTAAATATAATCCAAAATGAGGTAATCAATGAGATAGCATAATGAAATATCAAGTAACAAAAAGATAAATATAATCTAATATCACTTCATATCGGAATGGGCATAGTCCCTCTAACATTATTTTTTTCTTGAAATGAAGAAGGAAGATGATGTATTTAAAAATATAAATATAAAAAGAGATATGGTAATGAAAGGACGGACGTTATGATCTGAATCCAAGGGCGTATGTTGGTAGCATTTAAAAAGAAGGAAGAGAAAAATAGTATTGTGATGTGGGGTTGGGTGGCGTTGACGCGGTCGAAAGAGTGGTAACAAAAAGAGGGGCTAGTTTAGATTTAGATAATAAAACAAGGAGAAGACGACGCGGGGAATCTCCGGTTTCCACCGACATCACTTCCCAATTCTCTGATCTCATTCTATTCACCTCCATGGCCGATGACAAGCAACTCAATCACGAGGAGGCAAGTCCTCTTCTCCACCAAGCCCACCCCAAATCCCAGCCCTCTCTGCCCGAGACTCCCGAGTTTCTTCTCGGCTGGACCGCCGATGGGCTCCCGCTAGGCCACGCCAGCGTCGTCGGCCAGCCCATGGGCCGGGCTCCCTGGAACTCCTCCATCTGCGCCTGTCTCGGTCAGAGCGATCACTTCTGCAGCAGCGATCTCGAAGTTTGTAAGTCCTATTTCATTTCAACTATTTTCTGCTTCTATGTCATTTCTTTATTTATGCGCCCTAATCGCTTTTCATCTATCTCGCTTCTGTTACGTTTCCATTCTCTATTACTTTTTCTCTTCTGATTCCGCGTTCCAACGAATTACGTTTTCTTCATCCTCTGCAATCGAATCGCGAACAAAACAAAATAAAAAAACCTAATCAATTAGAGTATATATCGTAATGTATCCTTTAAAATTGGAATTTGGGAATGATTCGGATGAATGTTTCTTATAAAACTCCTCCCTCGAATTTTCAATCCCACACGTGTTAGCTTTCCATTTCCATTTGACTGTGCGGAAGTTGTTTGCGTATTAGCTGTGAATGTGATATATAATTTTTTTTTTAAAGGAATGATGTGTTTTTCAGAGAATTCAGCTGCAGAAAGATCGGCATCAGCTATGTACGAGTTGTTTGTTTTGTTGAATCCAGATTGTAGATTGTAATTTTCTCACGTGCACCTCAACTATAAAGCCCCGGAATTAGAAATTAGAATTGCTAATGCTAAATCATAGGACGGTGGAAACATTTGTTATTGTGTTTATAAGCTTGTTTGGATATAAGTTAGAAACTTTTTGAGAATTTCTCAATTAAAATAAAGAGTTATTTCCAGTAATACTTTTAGACTTGTATCCAGATTGATAGAATTGTTTTTGTAATTTAATCTGGAATAAAAATAAAAAGCAATATTGTTGTGAAGCAAAAAGGCTTGTGGATCTATCCTTGAGCCTCCCGCCCCATTTGCTATGTTTTTGATCTGGAACCATAAAACATTTATTCACATTGCTTATACTTGAACTGATGTCATGGGCTAGGTCTTCTTGGGAGTGTGGCTCCTTGTGTGCTGTATGGAAGCAATGTTGAGAGACTTGGATCTGCTCCTGGGACATTTGCCAATCATTGCATGCCTTATACGGGTCTGTATATAATTGGGAATTCCTGCTTTGGTTGGAATTGCCTTGCACCATGGTTTTCCTATCCTAGCCGTACTGCTATTCGAAGGAGGTTCAATTTAGAGGTATGTTACTTTTTTATTCTTTGTTCCTTATAATCTAGTGATAATGTGTTAAGTAACCTACTATCTGTGAGGGTGTATGTGAGGAGGAATTGTTGGTGATCACTACCTTAACTGGATAAAGGAATTGGCATGACATGGGATAATTAACTGCTAGCATAACCATACGAGGAAATTGGAGGGAAGTTCTGTTGCTAGCTGCAGTTAAATAAAATGAGAGAAGAGTAGAGAGGGGAAGTAAGGAAGTAGTGGCCAAGGGGTGGATAGGATAGATCACTCAGATCAGTGCGTCTGAAATAACCTATGCTACTGTATCTTTTTTCCTTCTGTATTGTAATCCATTGTAAGTCCAACTATTTTGCTGCTGATATCACACTGATACCGGGGGTTACAATGAGATATTGCAATACATACCCTGTTTCTGTGTGATCTCATCCAGTTTACATATCCCAAGAAAGTTGGTAGCTGGACTTGATTATTAATGGCTTCAAGCCTCATATATATTAGCAATAAATAATTAACACTAACTTGAGACGTGCAGTATAACCAATTAGGCTAGATTGAACATGTAAATTGGGTTCTCTACTCTGTCAAGCTGGAACATTTTGGGTTCCCCATCTTTTTAACTTGTAATAAGATGATCTAGCCATATAACTAAGCATCACTGTTTAAGAAATGATTCCAAACTTCTAATTCTGGATTTGTCAATTTTAGTTATGTTGACCATTTTTCATGTTTGATCACGTATTGTACACCTCCAATTAGTTTTGGTACAATGAGGTATATGTCAAGTGTGACAAACCTCTATTGAGTCATTATTGTTTGTGATTAAGAAAGTAACTTTAATTTGTAGCCTTTTCTATGATATATAAAATATGTCATTTATGGATTACCAAGAAAATAATCATAGACTTACTATTAGGAGAATCACTAAGATCGACCTAATGGTGAAGGTGGGGGGAAGAGAGTTGGAGTAGTATGCGCAGGATTTTTTATTCAAACTCCGGCGCTGTTGTTGTATTTTCTATGGATAAAAAAAATACCTAGTATTAGGAGGTAAGTTGGTTAATTGAAACACATAGGTAATTTGTATGTAAATTTTGTTGGGAGTTGATTAGTCAAGGTCAGTTAGTGGTATGCTTAAAGTTTTGTTCAATTTAACTTCAGGTGTTTTCAGTGTTATCTTTGTATTGCTTAAAATTACCTGGTGTCCTCTAGTATTTCATATATGATGCCATGTTTCATAGATGAAAAGCCTGTGTAAGTGAGATTTGCCTTTGCGTTCCCAAAAGATTTATAATATGCTACTCTCTTTCAAACACAAAAATCACATTCTTATATTATAAAAAAGAATTCAAATCTTTGTATAAATGATTTATTGTCCCTGGCAATCAGGGAAGTTGTGAAGCACTTAATAGATCATGTGGGTGCTGCGGAAACATTTTGGAAGATGAGGTGCAGCGTGAACAGTGTGAATCTGCATGTGACTTGGCAACTCATGTCTTCTGTCATGTATGTGCTCTTTGTCAAGAAGGTCGTGAGCTCCGTCGCAGGTTACCCCATCCTGGCTTTAATGCTCAACCAGTACTGGTTATGATTCCTCCATCAGAGCAGACCATGGGACGTGAGGCTTGAACATATTCTCTCTCATCTTGGAAGTGCTATTCGTGTGTATGATACTGTTGCCTCTATATAATTGATGTTGTTGAACCATATTGTGACTTTTTCTAAACAGTGTCCTGGCGTTTGAATTTTTTTTTCTTATAAATAAGAACATGAAACATCATTGTATTTCTGCTTGTTTCCCTATTGTTTTGTATTACATATAGATTTGAATGATATGGGAGAAAATTTCCCCTAGTGTCTATGCGTAATTGTTTAGTTCAACGAACTGAATGAAAGGATATGTCACATTGTGTATAATAATTACTATATGGTTATGTACTTTCGGTTTGTTTCTTCAGGCTTGAATATTGAAACGAAGTATAATGCGAAAATTTTTTATGTGTCGTATTGGAATACAACAATCGAGTTGTTATTGCATCTGCTAACCACTTTGACATTTTCGTGGAAGGGGTCTAAGTATTTTCCAGGAATAGTTCATGTTTTTTACGTCCAAATAGCAAGGTGGAGCATTAAGCTTCTTTGTTGGACAACCAAAGATTAAGGGGGCACCAGGACCCTAATGTAGAAAGGAAAAAAAAAACTTGGGTTACATCTATTTAATTTTTTTTTTACACCAACAGAATCATATTCTTTCCATTGAAATAATATTTTGAATACAATGAGAAATTTTATCATGAATATTTTTTGCATCAAACAAAATAGAATTCTAGCTAAGGAATAAATTATCAAATTACTTTTTCCTCTACTATATTGAATAATAATAAAAGAAAACGATCTCATAAATTGTCTAATTTAATTAAGAATTATGTCACATTAGAAATATCTTCCTTATTACTATAAATTTGATTCAATAATCACATTATGAAATTAGTAACTATGACGCCAATTAAGAGAATGTAATATAACATTTGTTTCTTTCACAGACATGTGGTTTTGATAAAAATAAATATTGCAAATTTTCACCTCTTTCAGTCTTTAAATGAGTTCCAATTCCTATGATGTCTTCTTCAAAAAGAAAAAAAAAGTTGCATCACAATTGTACTTCAATTTGTCTAACGGAAAAAGAATTTACACATTTAAGGAGGATTTCATATCCTACACAACTTCTACCTTATGCTTGTCAACATTTAACATTTAGTTAGCATTTAACCAATTTACAAGTGTTCGTCAACATTCAACATTTGGCTAACATTTAACCAATCTATAAGAACAAATTTTTCTATGTTCAATATTGTATCTGCTTGTTATGCTTTGCATTCCACATCATTTAATTCCTTCTCCACCAAATATTTCACACAGTCATAACCAGAAGATGAAATTGATACTTCAATAATAGTCCGTTTAATTTAAAAAATAAATCCTTAAATGATTCACAGTTCAATATAGTGTGATAAATTTGTGGTTGTAATCTACATCTTTATTGTACTTTAAGACTTTGTAAACATGTTACTGAACTATGTCAACAATTTTTCACTTCATTAGAACATAATATCCAAGAAGTAGGGCAACATATACTTCTTTGCAGTTTATTATGTGTCACTTAAATATCTCTATAAGCCTTCCAAATAAATATCTTCACTTTAGGAGACACTTGAAACTTCAAAATTATATTCTAATCACCATCAACTTTCATCTCTTTGTGATTATCAATGTGATCCATGTAGGCCTTGTAACCAAATTTCATTGTATATATGTCATTTGGTGACAAACTCCAAATTAAGCTATTATTTAAATGATTCATAGTTCAACATAGTGTGATAAATTTGTGGTCGCAATCCACATCTTTGCTATACTTTAAGATTTTGTAAACATGTTATTAAACTATGTCAACAATTTTTCACTTTAGTAGAACAAAATATCCAAGAAGTAAGGCAAGATATACTTCTTCTTTGAAATTTATTATGTGTCGCTAAAACATGTCTACAAGTCTTCCATAGGAAAAGGTACTAACAAGTAGGGATGACAAATATACCCGTACTCGCGGGTAATACCCGAACCCGTCCCGATTTTGACGGAGAATACCCGGTTTGACCGAGTACGGGTAAAACCCGATACATTAAATCAGGTACGGGTACGAGTACGGGTATGTACTTACCCCGCCTCGTCCCCGTACCCGTACCCGTTCCCGTTCCTATTTTTAATTTAATACCCACTTTTAATTTAATTGTATTAAAGAATTTTAGTGTGTGATTATTTATTATAATATGAGATAAAAAAAATAACCTAATTATAATTATAATATAATTTAAAAATATTATATTTAAAAAAAAAATAATAAATTTGACAGGTACGGGTACGGGTACGGGTACGGGTATACTCAATATCCGATGGGAACGGATATGATGATGAAAATCACATATTCGACAGGTACGAGTACGAGGATGGGAATGAGTTTGACTCGCAGGGACGGGAACGGGTATCATGAAACCCGTACCCGCCCCGCCCCTTGCCATCCCTACTAACAAGTGAACAAAGCATAAGTCTCATTCATTAGATCTTGACCAAAAGATCTTTAACAAATTGTGAAAAAATTGGATGAGAAAATTAACCAATATAATTAGATAGGAAAATGTTGTATCCTCCGAAAACAAAGGCTGAAAAATTGTCTGAATAATTAAAAAATTATTATTTTTTAATAAATTTATTACAAAATAATTATTTTATAATAAATTTATTAAATAATAATAATTTTTTAATATTCGGAGCGTTTTTGGGCCTCCTGTAACAATACTCAATTAGATATCATACCTCACAACCAAGTTTCCTTCCACATTAATCTCCGCCACAAACCTTGCTCAACTACAACTTGAGAACTCCAAATACTACGTCAAATATAACTACGATTATGATTGACACCGAAATCAATAAAATCTCCTTGAGGGTAGTATTTAACTTTGAATATTCTTAACAACATAGCATTCATCGGGGATAAAAATAAATCTCCACCATTGTTTCTCGAGCGTTGCTAAATTAAAGGAATGGAGGCTTTTAAAATTCATGCGACCATCTTTTTTACTCACAGTAAGTTTTTCCCAAGACATCCATCTAATACCTTTCTCTCCAGTACCACACCAATAAGAATTGAGCATCCTTTCATTCTCTTCACAAGTAGATTTTGGGATCAAATAAGCACTCATTACATAAGTGGGAATACATTGAAAGTTACATCTATTGATAAAATAATATAACTTTTTTTATTAATATTTTTTTTAAAGGGATGGTTAAGAAACTATGAGTGAGGTTGTTAGAAAAGAAACTATAAGTAATATTTTTTATTAAATAAGTATAACATTTAACATTATTAATGTACTTTTATTAACTTTTATTAATGTACTTTTATTAGAAAGATAACATCGAAGTTTATTTATAAGAATTATTTGTGAATTAAATTTTAATATTTTAAAAATAAGTTATTAATAATTAAAAAAATTATTTTTTTGATAAATATATAAAAGGTCAGTAAAAATAATATATATTTTTTATCTTAAATATAAAATAAAATATAATTATATATTTAAAATATTTATTTATACTAATTTTAAATAAAATTTATATATTTAAATATAATATTTATTTTCATATATACTTTATTATCAATTTTAATTATATATAACAAATATTTAACTTGTGAAATACACATGCTAAAAATACTAGTTCATTTTAATGATATTTATGTTTCAAAAAGAATTAGTCTCTATCTAATGACATCCTTATAGCAAGAAAAAAAGAAAAGAAAAGATAGTATATATAAAAAAATTAGCCAACTGTACTGATGACCTTACATTCTATTAATGAAGTGTAAAGAGATTGATTTTCCCCGTAATATCTCAAGTTTAATTTATTTACTTAATTTTTTTCCTATGAACTTTATTTAAACGAGAGTTAATTAATAATTAAAAAATAAATTAAAGGTTAGTTTAACAAAAAAAATTAAAGTGAGTTATAAGATCTTAAGTTTAAAATGAGGTGATTGTAATTTGGAGTCCCACTCATATGGACTAGGCTTGTTAGGCCCATTAGTGAAAAGAAAAGATGTTTGTTCCCTCTTGGCGGTGTTGTTAGGGTTTTGTATTAAGTGCTTCGTCTCTGCACTACACAGTACACACTAAACTCTGCGTTTTGCGTCACGATGGCTTCTTCTCGGCTTGATTTCTTGTTCTGTAATTTGTGTGGGACTTTGCTAACTGTCCCTTCCACTGAGTACGCTCAGTGCCCCTTGTGCAAAACTCGCCGAAACATACAACGTAAACCCCTCTTTTTATTTTTATTTTTTTATAATATTAATTTGCATGTTTCTTTTTTCTTTGATCATGTGACTTTCTTCTATTGATGTTTTATGTGTCCTAACTTGTCTTCAGATATTCGTGATAGGGAAATAAGTTACACAATCTATGCTGAGGTATGTTTTATTTCTGTCACCTAATACAGGATGATGCATTATTATTGTTATTGTAGTTTATACGACAATGTTCTGTTTCTTGGGCTAATGTAGGTTTGGTAAGTGGAGGTTTGGAGTTCAATGTCCAGTGTTTTTCTAAAGAAAAATGAATATGTCTTCACCCACTGAGACTTTGAAACATGAATCACTAGTCCATGATAAACTGATAGCAAGTAATTAATAGGGTTATAGTGTGTTTGGTTTGGCTAGTTTTGAAGAATAATAACTTATTTTTGCCAACTTCCTAAGAAAGTTTTTGAAAAATAAGCTTTAATTTCCTTAGCAACAATTGTTTTCATTAATTACCTTGATTTAGAGTCTGTTTGAATAGAAGCTTAAAGGTGCTTTTGAGAGTTTCTCTACTAAAAATAACTTTATTTTGAGTAGAGAAATTCTTAAAAGCACTTTTGCTTTATAACTAAACCAGACTCTTTCTCTCTGTTCAAATGGGAATTGATGAAAAGACGACTGTTCTTGGAGTATGGGTAGTTTAGCCATTCTGAAATTTGGACCTAGTTTTAGGATTTTAATATCAGTATGACAATGACAGAAAGTAGATGTGAGTGAGAAAGAGGAAGAAAATGTGAATGTGGGAAGTATGAGAAAAAGTCGACAGGGAAAACTTAAAATTTGAGTTTGTTCTGTTTCTGAATATTTCTGTAAAAGTATATTAGTATTGTGCAAATTGGATCGGAGATACATTTATATGTAGGAATGCTAACTTTGTAATTGCTAAACTTCCTTACAGTAGGTGCAAGTGCAACAGCTTATACATTTAAGAGTCCGTTTTCAGATTCTAGTAGCAAACATACGGATTAGTTAATTTAATAAGCACAATTTGTGATTTCATCATAACCATGGCATAAAAATGTGCATTCACTTTATACAGGCTATTGGTAATTGTTTCTTATGTAACCTTGTGCTTGGCAGGATATCAGAAGAGAGCTTGGAATGGAAGTAATCGAGGAACAGAAGGTGCAATTGTCTAAGGTAATGCATCCTGTAATGCATATTTAATGGCTTGATTTTTTAGCATATATTTGTATGTTTCAATGTTGATTTTTTCTTGACAGGTCAACAAGAAATGTGAAAAATGTGGCCATGATGAGGCTAACTTTTATACCAGACAGGTACCATTAGACTTAATGATGTAGATTTGCCAATTTATTCTGATTCAATAGTCAGAATTATTTATTTTAATCATTCTAATTTCAGATGAGATCAGCGGATGAAGGGCAAACTACTTTCTACACATGCACCCGCTGTGGTCATCAATCTCAAGAGAACTAGTGGTTTTACTTTAAGGCTATGTTTGGTTTGGAGAGGAAAGCTGACGGGAAAAAAATTTAGGGAAAAGTGAGATAGTTTTTTCAGGTTATTTGATGGGAGAGAAAATGAAAGAAAGTATTTTTTTCCCCTTTATTGAATTGAGTGTGAAAGGGAAAAAAAGAGATGTATCATGTATGTGAAATGGCAAATACTTTAAACCTAGGAATGACATGTAGTAATTAATCTTTTTGGTAAAAAATATATTTTAGAAGAGTATCTTTTTATCCAAGAGTTTTTTTTCTCAATACTTTTTCGTGCAATATAAAAGAAAGATATAAAGTAAACAATGAAAATTTTATTGATTATTTTTATTATTTATCATTGTATATTGATCTTGAATTTTTATTCTTAATTTTTATGAAGTTGCATCTTTTTTAATTCTGGTGTCATCAAGATATAGTTCTTAATTTGTATGAAATCATGTCATTTCAAATAAAATAAACATGAAATTAAAAAAAATCAAAACAAAAAATAAATAAATTAAAGGTGGTAACATTTCCATTTTTTTCAAAAACTTCAAAGACTCTTATTTCAAGGAAAAAAATATAAATAAAACACTTTCTAAATAGTTGAACAAGTTTTAAGAAATATTGTTTTTCTTTATTTTAATTTATAATGTAGAATAAACAATAAATATTTGAACAAGTTTTGCACCAAAAAAATATTGCATAGAAACACAAAAGGTTTAATATTTATCTTTTATGTTGAATTTCGAAAGTTTAATGATAAATATCTTCTTAAAGAGATAAAATACTTAAATAAATAATATTTTTTATAGATGAGGTCTATTCATACTATGTCAAACTTTTGTATTTAAACATCTGAATCTAATATTTGAATTGATAGTTATAATACAAATTAAGTTTACCAAATTTCATACAAATTAATTTATCACAATAATGAGTTTATATTTAGAATAGAAAATAAATAATAAATACTATAGATTGTTTTTCATATTTTTTAAATATTATATTAAAAATGTTTTATTGATTTGTTGTGAATCATTCTTTTTTGTCGATGTTTGATTTTTTTACTGGTTTCACATTTTTTTTATAATAATTTTCTGATTCTTTTTTCAATTTCTTTTTTCAATCTAATCCGATTTTCAAAATGCTAATTGTAATTTGTAACTACGGGAGAGTAGATTCTAGCGAGCACTTTATTTGGTGTTATTCCGTCAAGGAGACAAGTTACCCAATCATTCGATCCAATCAACCCAAATGTTATCTTGTTTTTGGGTCAGGTCATAGTGAAAGACCTCACCTCGACGACATGTGTATCCCTAATTTGAAAGAAATAAACGAAGAAAAAGAAATAGAACAAAACCTTTTTCCCTTCAAACAATTAGTAAAGGAACAAAACTGCTACTTTTTAGTTGAAACATAAATCTCACATAAGTCAAAAGCTAAGGTTAAAATAAGATATATAATTAGAGAACAATTTCAAGGATAATCTATTTCTCTTAGTATGCTTATTTTTTTTAATATTTGAATATAAAAATATTAGTTCTCCACGTTTAGCATATCATCTAAAATTGATATTCCTAATAATCATGATTTTTATGAATATTTTTTATACATTCTATCAAATTGTTTCCTTGAGAAGAGGTGAAAATCCAACATTATTGAATTAAAAAAATGTTTCACCATAATATTTTTGTTATGATATCCTAATTTGCTTAATTGATATAATAAAAATAATCAAATAATATTTATAAACATTCTTAAAAATCATGACTAACCAACAAATTTAACCATTATTAAAAATCATGATATTTCTATAAACTATAATTCCTCCTCAAGTATGAAAATATTTCACTTCTAGCAAACGTGATGTATTTGTAATTGTATCCCTTTATGCTGAAGTCATCATCCCTTGTCTTTTCGCCATTATCTTCTTCATAACTCATAATCTAATAATCTACGACGCAGTTTTATCTTTACAAGATTTTGGATAAGATATATGACAATATATTATTTAGTAACTGGAATTATAACAAATAAACAATATAGATAAAATATGGATATTTTAATGACCGTTTATAACCTAACCCCAACTCGCCACCGACTGACTACACATACTAGATCAGTTAACCAAAACTCAGTCTGAGATCTAGGATAATACACATCTCTCTACATCATCTTATTTTAATCTCTGCCTACATCGCCTTCATCCGAAATTAGAACAGGGGATTTTCATCTGAATTGTCCCACATGGATGTCAGGAAGAGTTTCACCAAGTCCCTCGAAGGTCACCAAAATGTTTCAGTCAATAGAGAAACAATTTTATTACTAGAGCATTCAATGATTAATCTATCTTTATGTGTGTAACTATACCCCCTTAGTACTAAGGTCGTCCTGTGTCTTTGTCATTATATAAAATCTTAAGATATGAGATATATTGTTATTTAGTAACTGAAATTATAACAAATAAAGAAAATAGGTAAAATTGATACTTCTATGTCCATTTATAACCTATCTCGATTCTCGACAACCAACCGGCTACACCTACCAAATCGCCCAACCACGACTCAATTTGAAACCTAGGATAATATACCTTATAAATCGATTTGGTAGAATTAAACTAGGTCTAAACCTACATTCTTAGAGTTCATCACCACCCAAAAAATTGGGTCATTGAGGGGAAGTATTGGGTAATCTTCCTTTGTACTTTGTCCCAGCCTATATATTTTTAAACTTAGAAGTTCCAAATAAGAAAATGTGTTTTCCCTTCCCATCCTCGATTGGTCGTTGTCGTAACCGGGATCACGACGGGATGACGCTAACATTTTTATATTCAATGGATAAACCCTAAACATTAGAAAACCCTTTAAAGGATAATCTTTAAAATTAAAGTTGGGTACGGGAGTCGATTACGTGTAGGGAAGGT